AGAACAATAATGGTATATTTTATATTTAACCCTATTATCCATTGTTCCTTGCTTGTCCTTGCTTATCAGACCCAATGGATTCCGGGTACGCAATATGGTACGCAAACAGGATGCACCATCCATGTTTACAATATTTTTATGTCCTATGTATACTTTAAAACGAAATTTGCAGTTTGCGATAAAAAACGGTTAGCCGTCAAGTGCGATAAAACGTGTGAAGGGCCAGAACGACCGGCGATACATCATAAAATTATATGAAAGTCAAGAGCAGGGAAAGTGAGAGGTGAACACCACAAAATTTATTGCGGTCTGCTTTCGATACCTATTGTGGAAAGCACGTTTTATGACTTTTAAAATAATTTTATGAAAATAACGCCACTTATCGCAGCATCGGGGTTGCCCGCGTGGTCAGAATGCAAATAATAAAAGTTAACGACATGCCTTTATACATGGAAGAGGTAAATAGGTGCGGTTTTTATGTGATTTTTTTTTATAATTTTTGCGTTTTAATATTTATAAAACTTAATTATGTTTTAATCGTGGAAATTAAAAAATTAAGGTTATTCATTGTTTTTATATATAGGTGAAATCAAAATTAATAACAATAATTTTAATGTGTTTTTACAGTGAAACAAATTAATGTTGCTTATAAATGTAATAAATATGTAGGTAGGTATGTACAGACAAGTTTGCACTAAAATCGTCACTGATGCAGGCTTCAACGAAATCGTTGAGTTAGAAATTTTCTGACGTCGAAGGAAAAATCTTCGCTCTTCTCACAGCATCATATGGAGTCAGTACCCGTGAAATTTGTCGCGGTTCTTATTGTTGCAGATGCATCTAGTTGCAGTCAGTGGGTTGTGCGATGGAATATTTCCCTTTCGATTCCGCTTAAATGGATTTTATATATGTATAACATTTTGATGTTCAAATGTCTTTTGAGCCTTCTATAAATAAAATATAGCAGGGGAAGGAGAACATATCAGATGTCTTGGGATTTTTATGAATATAAAAAAGACAACGGATTACGAATAATGTTTTAATTGAGTAAGGTACTACTACTGGCCTAAGAAAGAGGTATTCTATGGTGCCCAGAATTTCTTGGCCATTAATGTGATATAAACTAGTACAAATTACTGGAAACTTGTTCCGGAACAAACTTGTGCTTGTGGGTTGTTTGTTACCACAGCGCAAAAGAGTAAGTTTGTTTTGGAATCAAGCATAAAGGAAGGATAGACACGAAAAGGGTCAAAGAACGTAACGAGAAACCCATCTCTTATTTTGAAAGTTTTACATTTAAAATTGTATTAGATCATTTTCCATTCCAGCTAAAGCCAATTCTTCTATAATAACTATTGGCTGAAAGCTTAAGCGCGTACTTACTAATATTAGAACTCCATTTTATTATTTTATTGTTTAGGCTGTTAAGACTACCTATTGGCAACACTTAGAACTTCTAATTCTTATCGAACGCTGTAGTTAGGTAATAATAAGGTATCGTTCTATTATCTAATTATTTGGGATTATTTCTTTGAGAATGTACTGCACTCTGCGTTTTAATTTCAATTTGAAAGACTATCTCTTAGTCATTCATTCTGTATGAGCACTCTGTTCTAGGCTATACTCTTCTTATTTATATAAGTTTATTAATTTTAGGCTTAGTTTAAGTTTAAGTTTATTAATTAGATTTTCGACTGCTTTTGCGACTGAGGATATTTTCTGGTCGTTATGTTCAAGTTTCGATTAGACATAAATATTATATGACGTTGATAATCTTATGTATACAGTTATAGAAATAGATTCTAAAAGTTCAGTGATCATAGAGCTAACTTAAAATTTCAAATATATAGATTGTACTTTATTTAATTTTATTTCATCAATAGTTAACTTTTTATAATGGAAATCAATACCATGTAAATCTGATTAACAAATGATGAATGTTAATATATTCGAATGACATTATTTTGTTTCTAGAGTCTATTCTAGCCTTGAATAAAATATTTATTCATAACGTTTCTTACAAAAGTACCTACTCTAGAAAGAGGTTTTAAATCTCAGACACAATAAAAGCTTTAATGTATGTTTAGTCCTGTTTACAGTACAAATGTGAGACCTGTTGAAATCTGTTGCGCCTGGCGTGTGTCCAAGCCGTCGGATCACTTCAGAGGGTCTTTAGATAATAGCCAGTATTTCATGGCACATGCTGTATAGTGCTGTCTCAAGGAAATGGTAGCATTATTGTTAGTATACTAAAGAGAAACATATAAATGTACTAGCTTTTACCTGCGACTTCGTCCTCGTGACTGGGATATGTTCAAGACCGAGATAAATAATAACTGGTATTCTTCTAAAATAGTACTGTTATACCAAATTTCATGATTGACTGAGCCGTTAAGGTGCCATGGAGTAACAAACAAATAAATTTACTTTCACATTTATAATACTTAGATTATATAAATAGAGTGTCTTTATACAAATGCTTCGAAAAAACAGGTCAGCACTTATCTATGGGTGCAAGAATAGGGTTACCATAATATATATTTATTACTCGGTATATTATAAGAGTAAATTGAATAATAAAAATGGTATAAAATTATTAAGAATATGTTTGATCGATTCGTAATAATTCTTATCTTTGCTAAAATAGTCAGTAAAGATAAGCACCGTTACTGATTTATATTTAAGTGTAAAGGTAAAATAAGTTTTTGTTTTAATATCATTGAACATCGCCGCCATTTTAATTAATACATGGATATCAATTTGTAACCAATATTAACATGTGTACTTTTATATTATCGAAAAATAAAAATAGTTTCCAATTTAAATTTAGAAAAATCGACTTAGTATGGCAAAATTTTAATCCAATTACTTGCAACATTGAAAAACGGCACGTTTTGTTTTATTTTAAAAAAAATATATGTCAAATTAAAAGCTGACTAAAAGATGACATGTTTTTAATATTCAATGCTCTATTTATATAATCTAAATTATAATATTAGCACACAACTATAATCTCAGTTAAACGTAGTCAGAGGTACTTATTTTGCGCGTGATATGCTGGTATACGTAACTTATTCCTTTTAGTTAATATTATGATAACCAATGAGGTAGTGTAGAGTGGTGTATTTAATGGAAATAGATTCAATATAATTATCATTTGAGTCATTATCCGTACACTGCTGGACATAAGCCTCCCCCATAGACTGTCATAAAGAACACTCCTGAGCCACCTATATTCACTAGACTCCCTGCAATGCATTTTAGTTCGTTATTCCATCTAGTAGGGGGTCGTCCTATACTGTGTTTACCTGTACGCAGTCACCACTCAAGAACCTTTCTTTCTCATCGGTTGTCGATTCTTCGAGCTATGTGACTAGTCCATTGCCACTTCAAGGATAAGCAAGATAAATATATTTCATTTAAATTTTTATACCTAACAATAAAATGTTCGTGACTAAATTTTAAATGATGATCTGAGAAATGTTGCCGACTGTTGGATTATGATGAACGTAATGTAAAGGCATTTCCTAGAGCTTATTTGTTTGCAATGTGGTAATACATGACCGTGAGTCTACTGGCGTCTCTCAATTTAATTAGTATTTTGATGATATTACTACTTATGGAGAAATCGACGGATATTTATATAGTTTTAATGTCAGCCAGATTTGAACCCACAACTCCCAAAATCTGAGATTGTGGTCCAACTGTAGAACTAATTGAAGGAGATTGTTCTCCACTTACTACATCGAGTCTGGTAATCATTTTCTCATCAACTTTCGACCATGCGGAAAGTAGACGTATTAAGATTTGTTGGACAACATTTGGAGAACTATACGACATCTTTGTTTCCAAAATACCCTAAAGTTGAATACAAACTTGCATGTTGCATGTTTCCAGTGATGAGTTGTGAAACCGAAATAGGATCTTTCTCTGCTAAACGTACGTGAAAGTTCCATTAATGAATGGACGTATGATAAAAGTTTATGTATGCTAGAAACTGAAATAAGGATATCTACAGAAAAATCAACGTAACCAATAGCTAGATACAGCCCAAAAGATTAACACGTTGAAATGAAAATGGATCGACTAAATTGTTCGATTAATTAACAAGCGCTGGGGAAAAAGGTTCTGGAGTGGCGAATTCGTATAGGTAACTCTTTACTGTGTGGAGTTATGGTCTCAAATGTATGGCAGAGAGTTCAGGTGGCTAAGGATCACTCCTTATATTAGTCTATTAGGTTCAGTAGTGACAATGATGAATCATTTTCTATAGATTTATTAATAAAGCGCGGACAATATTTATTTAAGTAATTCACAGCCCATTAATCATCATATTGATTGAGCACACAAGGTACTTGAAAGACAGAAGCTATTATAACAGAGCGAGGTCAAGATGAAATCGATAACGGTCATTTTTTAAAACGATTCATACTTGGAAATTAATGATTATAAATAATATAGGAAAACAATATTTGAAATATGATTTAAAAAAGATAAATAAGTGTAACAGTGGGTTTTTCCTGTGAATTGACATTTGTTATTCCACAAGTATCTGAAGTGTCAATTTACGACATGGTTCAAATTTAATTAAAATACTTGTTATTTGCTGAAAATTATCCTCAAGAAACTCGACACTCTCTTATAATTACTCTCTTCTCTTTTTAAGTACTCTTTACATTTGACAGTCTCCTTGAATTTTAATGCAATCAGAGTTTTTTAAATGTAACATATACGTATTTATAAAAAAAAGTTTATCAGTTGTCTAGTACCCATAGTACAATTTATACAGTATAATAAATTTTATCATAGTATTATAAATATGGAATCGTAGATATTTTTCTATATTTTTGATAGCGATAATGATAAAAATAAATATTAACGATCAAATAAAGTGGAGATACAAATACAAATTGGATGAGAGTCAGAAGACCGATTGCGGCAAAAAACAGACAGTGTATTAATTCCTTAATTAATAAAGAAAAAAAATAGATAGTACTCACGTATAAAACCCAGTCTTTAGGGCTGTGGGCATTCGTGCCGCACACGTACAGCCGCCCGCCGTCTCCCATTGGCTGGATCACTCGGATATGATTGCGGCAGTCGAAGTGCTGTAACAAGCAGTTTATATTAGTAATATGAATAAATACAGCTTTTAAAATGCAACAAAAATATTGTTGTTAGATAAGTTCGTTTTCATCAAACAACTTCAAAAATAATAAAAAAAATATGTATAGATGTAAAGAATTATTTATCGATTTCTATATATTAAATTTATTTCATTTCCTTAACTAAATATTATTGATTTAATAAGATCAGTAGATTTATTTAAGAAACTTTATTACATATAAAAATTCAGAAATAAAAAATAATTGGTTAATAATGGATTCACATACAAAATTGTCCCCCAATATTACAAGCTTAAGTACAGACGTAAGATCTCTTTTAGGTGAAGTTACTTTCTAACCATGTGTAGATAGTTTTAAAGTATCTACACAATTTAGAGTAAAGATAATTTTTCAATAGCTAGTCTTATAAATATAGTAAAGTAAGGTAAAACCTATGCAAGGTTAAATTAATTTGTTGGGCTTAAACCAGTACGGTAAACCACGTTTGCTTGATGGAATTAACTAGTTACCGAGCTGAGTGGCTCCATTAGTTGGATACATGTACTTATCCCACGACTGATCGTTATTGGAATATTCTCTATCAGTACTTTTGAGAAGATAGCTTTTATTTGTGCTTTGATGATAAATTTTAATTAAAACATGTAATCCTATTAATCTTATAAAACACGAAATTTTATAAGAATGGGCTGATATTTGTTACTTTTTCATTCGAAAATTACTAGTTGGATTTTGATGAAATTTTACAATGCTTATACATTAGAATAACGCATAAACTACAATAAACGAAGGTCTTGTGTAAAGTGGTCGAGATATAATTATAACTGTTAAGTTGACAAAATTTTTGCCATCTAAGAGCTATTTCGGCGTGCGCAGTATAAAACGTTACAGTTACACGAAAATAATATATGGTAGAATTGTATGTTTTAGAAAGCTCTAAAAATGGTCCTCGATTGCATATATCTAGTCGTATATTTTATGTGAAAGTCGGTATAAAATTGTGATATAGATAGATATATCGATATTCTTTATTGCTTCCTCCAAAAGATTACAATAGTAAACTTATTATAAATATAAATAATTACAAGAAATAATCACAATGAGAAAACAATGGGCGACCTTATCGCTAAGAGCGATCTCTTCCAGGCAACCTTTGGATGGAGAGGAGTAATTATAAACAATTTGGTAGGAGGCACGATGATAAATTTTTGTTAGTTCTAGATATGGGAGATGTAATACATATAATAATATAAATATTAATAATAGCAAAACATTTAAATGGAATGCTATATTTAAAATGTACGTTTATGTTTATTATAAATGAATCCATATCCAAATAAATACTTTAATTATTTTTCTACGTAAAGTAGATATTTCTTGTCTTTTACAGTAAGTAATTTGGATAAATAGTTTAAACGTTACGACGATGAGAATATCTTTTGTAGACCATCTCTGTACATCGTGTATCTCTGCATAATATGCAGAGATATCCTAACTGTTAGACCATGTATTATAAATGTTAGACGGTTGACTGATAGAAAATGCCTTTAGCATTAAGTCCGCCTATTGTACCACATTTTATTGGGCAATAAAGTTTAAATAAATAAATAAACTTATGTGAGTGAGCTGCACGGTGCGTGATGTCAAATTAAAATTAAATCGGAACAAGAAAGTAGATTTTAATTAGATTATTTTTTATCGAAAAATATATGAACAAAGTCAGTCAAAGCTAGTACAATAATAAAATATATATAATAATTAATAAAATAATGTATTAAATAAAATATGGAAGATATTTTTTTATATATTAGAAGTTTTGCATATTCATACATTCTAATTAAACATTTGTATTATTGATCAGTGCGAAGCCGGTGCGAATGGGCTAGCTATATTCTATATTGGAAATGCAAAATATTTTTCAGATAATTTTATTCAGATAAGCTTTGTCCACCTGTGTTACTATAATAGTATATGTACTGGAGGTTATATGGAAATGTAGCCTATTGATAAAACTTTATAAACATCACAAATTATAGTAAAGTCAATATTTGTGCGCGAGTGCAACACGCTTTTATGCGGTTTTTTACTTTAAAGCATAGCTATTTAAATAAAATATATAATACCGGTTCTGAATTGATCAAAAATGGAATTTAATATTAAACAATGACAAAAAAAAGCGAATAGGCAAAATGGAAACGAATGAAACCATAACGTCGTCATGCATGTGCATTTATTTAGCGCATACCTCGGGCAAAATTCGCTGAAATAATAGCGAATGTACGTGGATATGTATGGTTGTTCACAGGCCGTGATTATGCAAATTTGCGTCCAACATAAATATTAAACGGCACATTAATATTCCGAACGACAGAAATAATGCATCAGATACTATAGGTATATATGTACACAAAGTATGATAAAACTAACTACTTAACTGGATTACAGAGATTTTGTGTTAAAAAATGCTAGGAACATTTTAATGATGCTATTTTTGCAGGATACAGTGAAATAGATTTGTATTATAATAAGTATATTTTTCATTTAAATAGTATCAGATAAAGTGTTACATTATATTATTGTGGTATGCGAAATATGTATATATAATATATATAATTCTAAACATAATTTTTTGCAACCATTTTATATAGATCTCCGACTCTATTGTCAAATACTATTTTCCAGTCAACTAATCAAGATCAATCTAAAGCATTGTTCAGAGACTTGAGTGGTAATACTGTTAATACCATATCTAGGTACACGGTGAATAATGGGACCATCTGACCCGGGATATATTTGGGACATGAAAAGCGAGCGTGTGGTCGTTGAAAGGAGATTGTTCTTGGTGCCTGTGGTCGCCCGTAAATTGAAACTAATTTTCTTCATGTCACTGTGAACGGGAACATTGAGGCCACTGTCAGTTGCCACGGTTGTAATAAAAATATCGACAAAGGGCTCAGGTTTATTTGAATAAAATAACAATCTATTTAATCATGAAGAAATATCATATATTTAAAATGTCATTACATCTAATTACAAGTTACTTGTTAATTTCAAGTTATAATTGAGTGTTATTTTTTTTTTTTTATTTATTTATTATTCTAGTATAATATTTTCTTGTAATCGTTTGTATTTATAGAAAGCTTGTTATAATAATAAAATTAATAAAATGATAAAATAACACCTATTGTACTCTTATGGAGGAAATAGTAAAGAGGATCTATCTAATTTCTATAAAAACTTCAATTATTACACAATTCTTTTTTAAATTAGAATATTGCTAAGATTAATATTTATAATTATACTTGGTATATAGCTTCTAATTTCCTGAAAATAGCTTCACGTAAGTAAACAATTAGTAAAGTGTTTTGCTCCACAAAAAGTTCAGCGAATATACTTTCTTTGTGCCGGAAGCAACTTTCCTCGAGATTGTTCTAAAGTAATTATCGGATTAATACACTCTGAACATTCAAACATTGTACTGACGCGAACAGAAAACAGTTTTGTGCGAAACAATCAGAATTAAGGAGAACAATCAGGCGCACGTCTAAGTTTCTTTTAACGGCAGTTAGCCGAGGAGCTTGCATAACTTCCGTCCGAAATAGTGATTCCAGGTGTTCCAACAAGTAGAGGGACGTCTCTGTTTTGGAAGAGCATTTTATGTTTGAGCAAAACTTAAAATCTCAATTGGACACAAATATGTCATAAAGATTCAATATTTAAATTTTGTAAATTTTTGACAGTTCAATGATACATTACTCGTATTTGTTATATGACCTATTGTATGTCACGTAGCCCATGTTATTGAAAAAAAAAAAATGAATTAAAGAATCTCCATTTATTAAAGTTAAATCGTTTTTGTTATCTTTTGCGCTAAAGATCTCCCATACCTGATTAGGTATATGTAATAGCTGAAAAACATTACCCTCCATTCTTTAGCAGTTTTTGTTTCTTTTTTACACACGTAGGTGCATTAGTGCATAATGCACTATATGTGTTTTTACCCAATGCCATATACCTAGTGCATGTATTTTATGTATCTAATAAACATATCAAAGCTGCACATAAGGTTATCTAACTGCAGCGGATTCGCGTTTGCTAATAAAATAAACACATTTGTTATTTAATTTTTTAGTCAGTTAATAGTTAGTTAACTGTCTACTGATGAACACAGTCTCCCTCATAAGGGGGGTTTTGCCAGTAGTTACTACGCTTGGCAGGCAGGTTGGCAACCGTAATTTAACTTTTGGTGATGTTTTATGAGGGATGCTGCTGTCCATCTCTCGGCCATAAAGCTCTCTTAGTCGCCTCCCATGACACCCACGGGAAAGGAAGGGACGCCCCATTCATGAGCTACACGGTGAATTTCTTATGCAGTAATAAATAATAAATAGATAATTCCCGTAACTTCTATATTCTATGGATAAAGTTGTTTATGATTCAAATTCTTATATATTTTTTGGATTGTAAACTCTTATTAATTAATACATAATTCGTGTTAAGTTCGAATAATGTAGAAATTCCAAAATTTCTATACTCCATTTATGCTATGTATAAATATTGAAAATAAAAAAAATCGGGACGTCCCACCTATATCGAAACTGGACAGCACTGCCCTAAACTAATGCCTTCGATCCGTCCATTCCGTTAATTATTCGCCACTTTGTACGTAAGTAGATTTACGGCCGGCTTTTCTCGCGTTTCCTTACAAAAAGGTTTTTTCCTTAAGGGGCTATTTTTCTGTAATGGCTTTTATAAAGAATTTAAGAGCATTGATTTGCATTGGTAGTGCATTTTTTCGGGAAATAAACACAATAATGGCACAGAATCAAACAAGATAAAACAGTATAAGAACATTGTATCAATGTAATTAGGTATTATATGTTCCTATAAGTATAATAAAATTTTATCTTAATTATATAGAAAAACACGTGCCCCTTTGTTTATAGATGCAAATTTTCGACCAATGGATTTTAATTAAATTTTGTAAATGTGCACGATTAATTCTACCTTGAGAACTAGGATACTTTAGTACCCATTAAGTGGCACCCGTAAAAGGGAGTATTTAAAAATCATGTTGTTACTTATTTGTATGCCGTGACTAAAGTTAAAAACAATATACCTAATGAGGTTATAAAAATATATTTTGAATCACATGTTTGTAAATTAATAAGAAAACAATATTACGTTTGATGTACTTACTCGTGTGGAAGAAAAGGAGTTTCATTCATACTTTATCTGTAATAATGTAACCGATTTGACGATAAACATTGCACTTGAACAAAAGTATATGAGTATAATAAGTATAGATTATAGAACCTCAACTAAGTAGTTTAGTAGTTAGAATGTAAATTAATTAATTAAAAATTAAATTAATCAATTAATTAACATAATATTTATACTAAAAGCGAATGTACAAAAGCATATAAATAAATAAAAATTATATTAACTGCGTTGGGAATGAGAAAATAAAGTACCAAATATCTTTTATTTTAATAAAAATAATCTGTATGGACCTTAGTTACTGGTAATAAGTAAGGTAAATTGATACTGATAAAATATGATATGACTGATAAAAAGTAAAACATTTGCAATAGTAGTCAATTAGAATGTAAAGTTTTTCCATAGATGTTTCTAGAATATTATCTTTACGGATAATTCTTTTACATCTTATATGATTGAAATGGATTACAATATTGTACTCATATATTGCTATGTGGTTCAAGCATAGAATGGGACCCCTTACCTTTCCACGAGCTTCGTAAGAGATGAATGAGGGAGTTTAATGGTCGAGAGATAGGCAGCAGCGTTTCTCTTAAAACATCATCAAAACCCGAAATGCGTTTGCCAACTCGCTTGCCAAGCTTGGTAACTACTGACAAAACCCTCCTTATGGAGGAGGGCTATGTTTAGCAGTGGACAGTTAACGGCTGGTATGATATGATAATGACTCTTTTTTTTTTTCATTATTACTATTGTATACAATTTGTAGATAATTTGTCACTATGTAGCCGTTACTATGTAAATATTTTAATTTTATGGAATTATAAGATTGCGTGGGCTGACAGCCAACATTGCAGGTGTAATTTCGTGACATTAATGTAATTACGTGGCATATACGTTTTATAACATGATTGCGTAATAGGCGTAGTATGAATTATAGGTGTAGTGGTTCTAAGTAAATATATTTTTACTTTGTTTCAAATTAATATTGACTTATGTAAAAAACATATTAATTGAAGTACAGTGTACTAGTAGTAACTTTAGAAGTTAACGCGTGATGTAGTATATAAAATATTGTATGTGTCAACTAAATCGTATTGTACTAAACTATATGCAAATCCATTTATGCATTCAAGCATGATTAAATCCTTACTAATATTATAAATATGAAAGTGAGTTTGCTTATTTGTTTGTATGTTCGTTATTTCTTACCACATTAAACGGCTTAACCAATCACTATGAAATTCAGTATATACACATTAAATGAGATAGAGAAGGACTTTTTAATCGAGTTCGTGAGCATATCTCGGTCACTCGGGTGAAGTCACGGAAAAAAAACCTGGTGTCGAATCATCATCATCATCATCATCTCAGTCATTATTTGTGCAGTGCTGAACTCCTCCTCTTTCCCTCCGCTATAACCATAAAGAATGATCCTGAGCCACTCGCATCTGGTACCGAATAAATTTGCTTAATTTTGACCACGGCGCGAAGCCGCGAGATCAGCTAGTTTACTAGATTTGCTGACCTCATAATAAGGTCCATTTATAAGTTCTCCGCTTAGAGATTGAGATTCTTTAAAAATCTATTTACGCTTTAGTATAAGCAAAGTAAAAGTCACTAAGTACCGAAATAAAAATAAAAATATGTTGTCATTTAATTGTCCGAATAGATTTGGTTGCTATTCTGGCGCAACTAAATAGGGCTAACGTAATAATCGTTATAACTATAGGGTTATAACGATTATTTGAGTTAGGTGTCAAGAAGTAACAAACAAATCATTTCACTTTTACTATAATATTTATTATATCTATAATATTTATTAGGTAGGTTACACGTGATGTGTGTTTTGTTAGAAGCGTCACAAGGATCATGAAACTTAAACAAGTCGCGGCGGGCCGGTGCGGTGGACAGCTCAACTGAATTTTGCCGACGGCACTTTCCCAGCCTTTTTCGTGTTACGACATCGTGTTTAGAGAAAGGAAAACTCGCCGACAGCGGGAAACTTTGATTATAGCCTTCACGAGTGGCCGTTTCTTCCACGATCGAGGTGATAGACTCGGGGATATTTCTTTTTTATGACCCTCTTTGATACTAATAAAACAAATTTACTTTTTTCGGAAGAGTTGGTGTGGGTAGCATGTTGTCTATTACTTTTTTCCGCTCTATGGCGGAAGTTTGACCTTTTATTTGCGTGCAACATATGAGTAGGCGGCGTACTACGACTTCTCTTTAAGTAACTTGGAAATTTTCTTGAGCTTATTGTAGAGGAATTTGGTATGAAATATGCTTTTACCTGAGACATTTATATGTATATAGATATTATATTTAGTTGTATCATTTCTAGATAATTCATATAGAATATTAATTCTAGAAAATACATAAACTTTTATGTAGATGTAATGAAACGAAAAAGATTTAAGTAAAATTTGGAAAACATTATATAGATTAATAGTTAGTTGGAGAAAGTCACAAGATGTTAATAATGAAATAAACGATAATCATAATGTACAGCTACAAGTATGCGATAGGCATCTTAGCATGTGCAAAAAACTATTCAGCTTTCATATTTATAAATAAATAAAAAAATAAATACAAATCAAAGATTTCGTAACTTGCCGAAATCTGCACAGATCTTTAAGTTTTTTTTTTCTTCTTATTCGTATTATGTATTAATAAATATCTAATTGAAAGTTATTGATTATTTTTTACATCTTTACATTTTATATTATATCTGATACATAATTTTATTTTTAGTTACTGCCCATTGGAAAGCACATTTTTAATACAAGTAAGAAATTTCATTTTTATTTTAGGTTTCTATAACATTAAATTTGTAAGATTAAGATTTTTGTGTTACTCGCATATTTTATATTAATGTAAAAGTCCTAATCATAAAATAAACATAAAATTATAGTAAGTAACAAAATTAGACGCAGTTATTTACATCAAACCAGGCGCTACAAGTACAATTTTCAAGTAAACAGACATCTCGTGCTTACTTTTATCACTTTGTACCCGCTTACTCTTATCTCTATACATTTCGCATGAGAACGAGACGTTCCGTTTCTAGTTGCCAGCTTTATGAGTTTCTTATTACCTACATGTATGACCTCGTTGGACGAGTCGGCAAACAGATATAACTAAACATATTTACCGCAGCCACAGTTTATTATATATTAATGCTTGACAGACAACTTTAAAAGCATTTCTGCTTCTAATAAATGGTAGTTTTAAGTTGATATTTTAAGAAACATTTTAAAAGAGGTACATATTTTAAACACGCTCTAATATTGTTGATTAAAATAAAATTATTTGACATGGTTCGTTAAATTAGAAAAGTGTGTATTAATGTTTGTATACTTATAAAATACGAGTAGTAACAGTTTCCCGCGATTACGTCCGGGTGAATTTGGCTAAGATGTACTTAGGATTTTGTTTATCTCTGTACGAATACTTCACTGTATATTATTTATTCATCTTTATTACACAAATAAAATTTGTACAAGTGGCGAGCTTAATGCCATATGGAATATATGTGTGTATTTTATTTAAATTTTTATTTTAAATTTTTATTATTGGTGGGATCATAGTACTTTGTAGAAATATTAGAAAGACTTTTGGAGTGGCAGATAAAAAGGTTGTAATGAAAATCTAAATTTGTTAGTTTAAATTAGATATATGGATCCCTGTAGAAATATGAAATATTTTGAGTAATTATTATATGGCAAATATATTAATAACGTAACAATGATTCGGTATTTTACCTTGTAGAAAAATAAAATCAATCGCAATCGAATTTGGCAAGTCGAGAATCACTTGAGTTTAAGAGTCTCGCGGAGAGGCATTATCCAATTGGTCGATCGCGAACATCGTTGTAATCGTACCCCGATCCCGGCGAGAGGGCGACCGAGAAATAAAACAAATATTGCTTTTACGTAGCGATTGTAAATCAAAATTAACGGCTTTAATATAGCGAACAGAGCGCGGCTCTAAGCTTCCCGCCATGAAATATGCCCGCCGCCCGTCGCTTACTGTTAAAAATGGGATTAACCCCTGATGGAAATAGTGCTAGTTGCGAGTAATTCCGCGGAAAATAAACGGCTTTTAATTAAGCTGCATATTATATAAAATTATTAATATTCACTCAACTAATGCTAACTATAAAGTTGAACGAACTGAAAATTTTAAATGGTTCCCTATATTTATAGCTCATGTATTCATTTATGTATATTTGATGATTGATAATTTGATGTTTCGATTCGATTTTATTCTACACTTATTTTTAGTCCTTAGTTTTTAAAAGTATATACAATACATGATTGTATGAGTACATTATGTGCGAATGAATGTTTATTGAATTTCATTTTGCCACTAAAAAAAATAACATTTAAAATAAAGTTAATGTTATAAAGAAAGTATAAAAACATATCTGTTTTAGTTTTTTCATTGTTTTTTTGTTTCTTGTTTTCAACTGTATTCAATTTATTTTTGCATGGATTAATTATATCCTGTACCATAGTAATGACACGGGATGCGGGTCCCGTATCTTTAGTTGTTTTTAAGTCTAAGAATTTGGAATAATTTACAGTTCTCGAACTCACCTCTGACTTTCCCTTTGAGACACATTGTGCTACGTTGCTCGGCTCAAGATTAATTGAGTCTCTCTGTGAACAATACACAATTTTAAGCAATTTAATTCAATATAATAAATAGAATAAATAAAAAAATTGGTCGAAGTAGTGTACAGTATTTTATAAGTAAATATAATGTATTATAATTGAATCGATACCTCTATAATAATATTTCTCTTATAATTATTACTACTACGTATTGTGCAAAGTTATTTTTTGGTGTCAAGAGCTTATTTATTGTAAGGAATATTGTTTTATGTTAAAATTAAAATAAAAGAGCGTGAAATCGAAATATTTAGCATCCTTTGTGCTAGTACAATTGAACATTAAAACAAATATAGGAAGAAATACCCATAAAAGGTATTTTTTCAATTCGGTTTCACCCTGTTTATTTTATAAAACAATGCAATTATTGTTCTTATACATGGAGGTTGTAATATAATGTAAATTGGACTATCTTTTCCACGTTTAGCCTCTAGTTTGGGCCGTTGTGCGTATGAATATATGGAGGTTAAATCTATTTAATATTTTATATGAAATTAACTTACTTCACAATGTGATGAGCTGATATTGTTCATATTCAACCGATACAACCGGTCCCTGAAATGAAAACTCTATATTAATGAAACTAGAAAGAAAGCACAATGAAAAGAGTTCAATTCTGAGCTATTTTTAATATTGATTATAAATAAAAATTAGATAAATTATATTTTTATTATCAATGTGATAAAATTTTTGTACGTATTATATTTTTAATAGTACAAATGGTTCCTGAAATTATATATATATATATATATATATATACATATATATATATATATATATATATATATATATATATATATATATATATATATATATATATATATATATATATATATATATTTCCTTATTGTTAATAACGTTTTGTTTATTTTTTATACGGTTTTTGATACTTAAGGCATTTAATATAAATATAAGTTTAAAATAGATTTAAAATTTATTTTAAATGAACAAATATCAAAGTCCATAGTGCAGCCCATATCTGTAGGTTGCGGTTAACACTTACCATCAGGTGGTTTGTCAACTTATTTGCCATTATCATTATAATATATCAAGTATCATAAAAAAAATCTATTACAATGCAGCTGTTTCATTCAAACTGTAAAGAGCATTATTTTAATTGTATTAAAATAATGCTCATTACATACAACGTATTAAACTACTTTATGTTTGGAAATTTATTTTTTTTTTTTATTACTTTTAATATGTGAAAATATATAGACATAAAGAAGATTCTTACATAGCGCCAACGTAGAGGGCATCCCGCTTGGAATCAACAAAGAAGGTTCTGTAGTAGAGGGTGCCACAGGAGAATTCCCGAACGTGATCTGCAAAGATGGAGACACTAAATGAGTTTGCATAATTTGATTGAAGACTTTATTATCTCATAATTTGAAGAAAAATTCTCTCGTCTTTTGGCAGGTTTATTGTTGTATCTCTTCGGTCATTCTTGTTATATACGCTATTTAAAATATAGATTATATTTAGTACATAATAGTAACATTGTAATATACTTAAGTAAATATTTAAGATATTCCCATATTTATATAAAGATGTTATTTTATTATTTATATTATGAAGAAATATCCTACTATTATTTTTCTTTTAATGAAACTGTTATTTTTTGTCGATATAATGAATGTGTTGTAAGTTCTACCAGGGAGTTGTAATACAAATAGTGAATTATATATTTTTTTTTATTAAAAAAAAAAGAAAAACAAAAGCGTTATTCCATTGTGTTTATATATTAACAACCTATATTAAGCATATAAATAAAATACATAGACTCCAAACAAACAAGTGTATACGTATATTCTTTATGTACTACGGAATCCTCAGTATGTGAGATACCCTATAGTTTCCGGATTTTTTTAAATAACTTAGATCAAAGGCATTTTATGTGAACGATCCATTTTAGGATCGGTACGAGTCAAGACCGGGATATACTTCAAAGAGCCGTTGTTGTATGATCTGTGAAGACTCCGGTACTCGAAAATCTAAACGCCCACTAATAACATATTTTTAGCAGTAAAACATCATAGGTATAATATCTTATTTATCTGTTTTGTTTGTAGTTTTATATGATATTTATAGACAATTAAGATGACTTGGATTTTATTTATTATAAGAAAAAACAGTATGTTTCTAACATATAAGTACAGCTAATATAAATGTAAAAGTCTTTTTGTTTATTATCTCTTTTTAGAAATATTATATACGGGAATGAATTAGATTTCACGTGTGCAATCACAGAAATTACTTATAGTCGTTATTAATATATGTAGTGTGAAAGTAAGTTTGTTTATTACAGAGGTATAACACTTTAGTCCTCAGGAACGGCAACACATGAAGGGCATCATGAGCGACATGTTATACTTTATTATGCTCATGGCACTGTTCACTTTCCATCAAGTGGGCCGTCAGCTTGTTTGCCACTTTAAGTTAGATGATAAAAATATATATATTATTTATTATCATTTCAGCCGTTAACTGTTCATTGCTGGACATAAGCCTTTCCCACGAGGGCAATTTTGTTAATAGTTGCCACATTTGGCAGGCGGGTTAACAACCGCAGTTAGGCTTTTGAACATTGCTGCCCATCCCTCGCCCTCCCTTAGTCGCCTCTTATGATAACCACGGGAAAGAACGGGGTGGCCCATTTTATGCCGGGGTATACACTGCTATATATATATATTTAAAGATTTAAATAAATAAACATAAAAATGTTTAGGCAATCTCATTTCATTTGATTATCCGTGAACCCCGTATTTGGCTTCGCTATTTTTATATTTACATGTGCACCACGATCTAATATCTTAGCTTATTTTATTATTTAAGATTTTAGGACAGGGCACGTTTCCGCATCGCGTGCTCCTGTTTTACTGTTTAGTGTGTGTAGTCGGTGTGGGATCGGGTCACGCACCGAACCCGTGTATACTTTTATAAGAACAGACTTCTGGATTCGAAATTACCGACAACAAATTGCAAATGGAACGTGATGTTAATATAGAAACATTGCTAAATATTCATTGTGGTACTTATATTTTATTCACCGTTATTTTTTTAATAATTGTTTCTGTGATATAGTTTGTGCGATAAAAGATAGTAGTTCTAGACACTGTACCAAATAGGTGCTATGTGTGTGCTAAACAAAATTCAAACTCGCAAATCAACGATATATAACTAATATTGTATTAATTTTCGAAATACTTTATCAAGGTATCTTTATAATATAAAACAAACTCTACACTACAAAGTATCTGTCTTTTTCTCCTTTTTTTTCTAAACCACGCAAACGATTTTGATACGGGTTTTCCTGTAATTTAAATATTTTTTTCTGTAAGGACTGTCTGTTCAACAAATGCTAATTAAAGTTTTGTATAAGTTTTGTATAAATTGCACCCGTGCGAAAACGGAACAGGTCTTTAGATCAGTTTTACTTGTAGTAGTGTAGTTTAGTTTTACTATATAAAATGCAATTGTAAGTGAGTTTACAAGCTAAAGATTTTTCAGAGTCTACACTTGTTTGCGATGCGGGCATTTTATTCGACAGACCAGACGGCAATACTTCCCATGTGAGTTGTGTTGGAGGAGAAAGATTTTCAAATTATTCAAATGCAAGTTTTTACCCGCGACTTCGTACGCGACTCAGATATATTGGTTGACTGGGATAATACAGGCCTATGTACTTCTCGATTTTAAATGTATTATTATATCAGCCGTTAATTGTCTAATGCTAAACATAAGCACATATTATATGAATTTATGCTGTATTGCTTTATTTTTTCTCTATTCAAAATGCACCGCCTACATATTTCCCGGTTTGCCCGATGGTTGACTGGTAGAGAACACTGTCCGGTGTTAAATCCGCCAAATGTACATAGAATTTTACTGCGCATTAAAGTTTATATAAATAAATAAATAAGCCTTCCTTTAAGGAGAGTTTTGCCGGTAATCGCTACGCTTGGCAGGCGCGTTGACAACCACAGTTAAACGTTTAGTAATGTTTTAAGAGGGACATTGCTGTCCATTCTTCTACTATTAAGTTCCCTTAGTCATCTCTTTCGACATCCACGAGAAAGGAAGAGGTAGTTTATTCTATGCTGGGACCACACGGCGTCGATTTTGAATACAAAGTTGAGATTAAAACTTTGGACCATCTTAAAAAAGGAGAAAGTTTTTTAGTATTCTGTATTTCGTTTGAGGCTATGTTATACGATAAGGTCACCAATTCTGAATAGATATTAATAATGGTTTTTTTTTATATTTAATAGAGTTTATTAATTTTCATCACGATTGAAATTGATGTTTATATTATTTGCAAAGTAAATAACTGCTTGTTGTTACTAAGCAAAAATATTCCTGTAGAAACAGGATTCTACGTTTTAAATGATTTTTTTTATCTAATATATATACGACATATCTCGTCTTTTATTGAAGTATTTTATTGTGGTTAAAGTAGAAGTTTTGCAAAGTGAAATGTACTTGTATTTAGTTGTAAGCGTTCTTACAGTTTAGCACGAATAAGAAAAGACTTTCTATTGATAGTTACAAATTGAAATAGGAGCAGTAATTTAAGTATATACATAAGACACAAATAACATTTTTGTATATCAGTGTAAGGAAAAACATATAAGTTAGAAATACGAAAGGAATATAGGATAGGAAAAAAAAAACACGGCAGGAAATAAATAAAATTCTACTACTTTTATAATTATGAATGCTAGTACAGATGTTAGCTCAATTGGGCTCCATCATTCGGGCATAATTGTAAGATACAGTTAGAAAAAACAATTAGTAAACAAGGTGATACAACAAACAACCAATCTCAATTGATGTCGTAAAATATTTTAAAAGACGATTGTACTGGCCAAAATAAGTATATCGCTCGATCTGTATAGGATAGCCAATGGCAAAGATGGTTTCTACCTATAAGTTTTTTAAAGTATTTTATGATATATAAATATTTTATATTATTAATTTTTTAAAGAATTTAGTACTAAGTACTAAAAACCTACTTTAAAAAACTTATGATATATTAAATTACTCAATTGACAGATATACGTACATATATGTCTGAATTGATAATTAATGTGAAACAAAGAGATAAAAAATTGCACGAAGTTTCGAGGTGCAAATGGAGTTTGAATATGGAATGTGACATTGGTTGCCAGGGAATAGGGCAGGTGTGTGATTCGGAAATCAGTATTGCTGGACTAGACGCCGTTGGGAATGTGTCGCATGCAACCTTGTATTACCAAATTGCAAGGCACGTTTGCTACTCGAATAATTCAGCATTCTGTATCTTAGAAAGTCTTTATTTATTACTATACCATTTTAATGGGAAATTATATAGAATATAAATATATCGATGGGTTAAAGGTAAGAAAGAAAGACTAGAAAAGATAGGTGGACTGTGCAAATGAAAAGAAAGAGTGAACACAAATATGACTACTAATAATAACGTACGAGAAAAGCAGCGTCGACGTTAAATAATGACACAAAGACAGTACGATTATGTTATGTGATTATGAGACCATTAGTATAATGTTCATTAGCTAGCTTGATGTTGAGTTTTAGATCAAAGTAAAAGAAAAGATACTGAAAGCAAAGGTTATGTTAAGCGAAAACCAAAAAAATATAACAATATACAGTAGAATAAAGGAATTACAAGAACAGAAACTCGTCATATAATATTAACGAGAAATATGTAATGACAAAGCCTAAAAACATTTCCAGTGATAAACTGTTCTGTGTAACTCGAAATGTTCTTTTCATAAAAATAATTATTTTTATGTGGTTACCATTTCTTTAGAGTATAACATACTCGTAGATGAAAGATGATTGAAATAAGAATGATGACGAACGTATCATCATATCAACTTTGAACTGTCTACTGCTGAACATAGATCTCCCCTCGGGGGTTTACCTAGATAGTAGTTACCACACTTGATGAACCTATATTTGAAAATAAATATAATAAAATTGCCAATTGCGTATCATATATCTATCAATTCAGTTTACTTTTTTTAAATTTTAGTAACAATGTAATGAAGCTAAGTAGTAACATTATTGCATTTCCAGGAGAAATATAGCGAGGATTTAAGGAGTCTATAGACTGTTTTTGAACCAACCGAATAAGGTTACCTAGGTTATTTATTGGATCATAATTGAATTAATTATATTTCAGGTCGATCGGAAGAATGAAAAATATAAGGTATGACGGAAATCGTAATAAGAACTGTCTATCAACTAGGAAAAAAATTTATACGGTTGAACAAACTTTTAGCTGAGAAAATATAAGACATTGAAATAGGCGTACCTTCTT